GGATTTTCTGCTCGGTTTAATTAGTTCAATTTTAGAATTTTAGAACCGAATCGAAATGCTCGCCCGATTACCTACTGCTTCCTTTGGGTGGAGGGTCTTTGTGCTTTATAATTTGGGATTCTGCAGTTAAAAGTTAATCATAGAGTTTTTAAGAACTAGTTTTAAATAAACTGATCTTTCAAGATGAAGTTATTGAATCAATCAATCAATTATTTGTTGCAACAATTTGACCAAGCTCTGCTTCATTAATTGATCTCAATTCCTTTGAAAGTTGTGGTTGCTGGATGTTGAACAGGGTCTATGTTCTAAGTGTTGTCATATTCGAAGTAAATTCGTACTATGTGATATTCTGTACTCGGTGAAAATTTTACTTCAATTACTATTCTATGGTTAAATTGCTTGTTAAGTCAGGGATATAAGGGCATAGGAGCAGCCTTTCTTTAATTGTTTATGTCTGGATAGTATCACTGCTATGTTGCTCCGACTTTTCATTGTTCTTGAAGTGTGGTGTGTCACTCTCTAAATACAGGCAGAACTTGATGAAAAAAAGAACAAACTTGGAAACATACACATATATAACAAACACCAGAGTCCGAATAACATAGCTGCATTGTTTTGTTTTTTCATGAACCCAAGTGTCATAAATTCATAACAGTTGTTTTTCTTAGATGAGTTTCATGTTTGTATTTCCTTGTGGATCATCTCCTCATGGTTTCTTGTAAACATTTATATCCACTGCATAGTTCTCACTTTATTTTTTCCTCCTTTTGTGCTGAATATCAGGAACTGGATTGAAGACCCCTTCCTTAGCCCTATCAAAAAAAAAAAAAAAACACAGCAAAATATTGAGTTCTGATCTGTGTAGATGCCACTGATTGTTTTGTGTTTATGGTGTTGTATTTGATTACAGGTTCAATTAGGGTAGTTCAAGCTGTTGTACCTCACATGGCATCTAAGAAAAAGGGAAGGATTGTGAATATTGGAAGTGTTAGTGCTTTGGCTCCTGGGCCATGGTCCGGTGTCTACACAGCATCTAAAGCAGCTCTTCATGCGCTAACTGATACTTTGAGGTCAGTTTAACATGATATCTGTACAAAATAAAAGGCTGCAAGGGCAATTCACTGCCGTCTAACTCCCTTAGAAAAATAATGTTCTTGCACATTTGTTTAAATGGAGGTGACAAAGAATTGAGTTTAGTTTAAGACCAAAATAGCAGTATGGAACCGAGTAATTTAATCTTTATACGTTTGCTATTGGTGCAAACAAATAATGTGATAACATTGTCAATGAGATGTTGATGAGAACTGCTGAAATCTGACAATGCAAACCCGTATATAGAACTGAAGTAGAAAACGGTTTTCTTCTATTAAAGAACGTAAGCTTTTTGTCTGGTAAGTTCATGTCAGTATCTGGATGGTTTTCCATAACATAGTTATTAATTTTACTTGTTTTCTCCAATATAAGATGTGTACTGATTAAATTACTCGATTATATAGTATAGAGACTAAATTGCACTTTTGACTATAATGTAAGGACTGTACTTCAACTGAAATTTTAGTTAGCCTTTTTGGTTTTTTGCATCTAAATGGATTCAAAATCCACCAAAAATTTTATTATTCAAATTTGTCATCTGTTGAAAAGTAATTTACTGGAGAAAAACAGATCAGTATATTCACGTTACTTTTTTCTAAGGTTACAGCAGGGTTTTGTACAAATAATGACTAAGAGTACTAGCTATAGTAAGAGTCCTAGATTAGTTAAAACATCATCTTTATCTATAAAGAGGGCTAGAATTAATGTAAAAATAAAAATCTACTATTAACATAAAACTCTACTATTTACATGAAAATAATCTCCTACACATAATATAACTCACGTCATCCAATTCCAATTTTACGACTTAGTTGTTATTTTATTCAAAATCTGATGCATTTGCTGCATGATATTTCTTGGAATTTTAAAGCTCTCAAATCTTGTCATTATCTTTGAGGGCGACGTGGGTTTGAGGAATTGAAAATGACCATTGCTTATGCACATCGCTTTTCTATATCTTTTCTGTCTTCTAAAAACGTATAGGTATTTTAACTTAGGTTGTTCTGACACAATTCTTCTTGAAGTATGATGCACATCTGAATATGAGTATAAGGAGCCTTCCAAACTAGGGGTGTTCCAAAAAATCCGGAACCATAACCGTTAACCGGTATAACCGTTACATTTAACAAGTTAATTAACCGAACCGTTAAAAGTTAAAACTAAACTATTTTGGTTAACTAAACCGTTAAAAATGATGGTTAACATTTAAAGCTACGGTTACGAATTTTGATAAATGATTAACCAACAGTTAACCGTTAATAAATTAAATTTATAATTATATTTCTAATTTATTATATTTTTACCTAAATAACTTAATATAATTTTCTATTATTTATAATTTATATATATTTTTAATAAAATTTGTATACAAATAACTTAATATATATTTTTTATTATTTTTAATTTTTTATCTCGTTGATAATATAGAAACATACTTACACCAATATAACTATTTATTTATTGTTAAGTACTAAGATATTGGAAGATATACATACTTACATCGATATAAGTATGTGTTAAGTGTTACACTTTTTTATTTTATTTACTTGTACTGGTGTAACTATGTGTAAAGTGCTATACTTTTTTGTAGTATGAATTATAAAAATTTTTGACAAATAATTGTAATAGGTTAACCGTTAACTGTTTCTTAACGGTTAACCATTTCTTTAAAAAAAATCTCATAACCATTATAATGGTTAACCGACCGTTTAGTCTAAATGGTACGGTTAACTGTCCAGGAACAACCCTATTGCAAACACATAAAAACTTAGCAGAATTGAACATATCTGTGTGAACACATTCCTATCAAACACTCATTCCTGAGATTGAGTAAGCATAGGTTATAATTATAACATCTTGTATGTTGCCAAGATCCAAATATATGTGAGTGATTTATCATCTTATATATGTGTATATTTTGTCTCAAACTGTAACTTAGTTGTATTTTTCACAAACTAGGAAGCTTAGATCCTCCTCCTGAAGAGGAAAGAGTATTCCGAACCTAAGTATATTTTAAGTAACTGAATATGTGGTATTATTTACTTTAGGATATTTGAATATATATGTATGATATGACTACCGGATAATACGCACACACCCACTATGGCTGCAGGATTTCTGGTTTTGGTAGGAGTCGGGGTTTGAACCTTCTGGTTTATTGTGGACGAAGAATCTGCCAGTTTGAATTCCCGAAAGGGGAACCTTGCTTGAGTTTTGGCCCAAAACCTGTAGGTCATTTGAGATTATGATTTGTTAAGACCTGAAAGCAAACAAATATTATTAGATAATGACTATTAATTTTTCTCTTAAATGAATATGACCCTCCAAATACATGAAAAAAATTTCAAAACAAGTATGCATACCCATACCAGGCACATACTCGTATACGACACTTGCACTCGAGTCTGAGTAATGTAGGATAATCTCTTACAATCTTAGAAACCAAGCAAGAACTCCCTAAAGGGAAACTTTGCACGAGTTTCTAGCTCAAAACATGTAGGTCATATGAGATTATTATTAGTAAAAACTTGAAAGCAAACAGAAGAAAACACCTATAATCAGATAATGGCAGGTAGTTAATCTTGCTTTGCTCCGGTTCTTCATATTTTGAAGTACACTTGTCCAACACATATTCGTATATAGGTATGAGAACATAACCCTCCAATGACGCTTCAAATACATGAAAAAACACTTTGAAAACTATTAAGCATACCCATATTAGACATATGCTCGTATACGACACTCACACTTGAGTACGAGTAATATAGGGTAATCCCTTATGATCTTCCAAACCAAGCAAGAACGTAGTTTTTTTTAATAATATTCTGTGATGTATATAGATTGGAGCTGAGCCATTTCGGGATCGATGTCATCAATGTTGTTCCAGGAGCTGTAAGGTCAAACATAGGGAATTCTGCTATTTCTAGCTACAACAGGATGCCCGAGTGGAATCTATACAAACCATTTGAACAAGCCATCCGAGAGAGAGCTTACTTTTCACAAAGAATCAAGACAACCCCAACAGATGTGTTTGCAAAGGATACCGTGAAGGTAATATTGAAGAAAAATCCACCAGCTTGGTTCTCAACAGGTCATTACTCTACTATCATGGCAATCATGTATCATTTGCCAATTTTTGTCAAAGATTTCATTATTAGGAAAGCAATGAAAGGTTGATTTCTCCAACCTCGCACCTGCCGCTGGTTTAATGCAGTTACTTGGATTTTTTATGTCACGGTAACATAACATTTTAATCTTTAGACTCAATTGAACCTTTTAGAGTATAGTTGCATGATTTATTTTATGTTTTGCTTGAAATAATAAAGATTTTATGACTCTAGAAGCAGTTGTATGGTAGATAAAAGAATAGTTCTAGTAATCTGAATGACCAAATTATAGAGACATCAACATCAGTTTAATTTGTTGCTGGTCACTGTTTTTTGCCCTATGAGGATTTGGGCAGTCGAGTAATCCTTCCGGACGACAATGATTATCAGAAACAACTTTCTTGGTAACCAAAGATGCCATTTTTCCGGAGGATTCCTTTCCTTCTCATTGGCTTTAAACGTTTGAATAAAGAAGCAAAACTTATGTTTATTTGTTTTTGGTATTCTACTGCTTTCTTTAACAAAATGCATGCAACAGGGCAAGTCCGATAATGTATAGTACAAACATTATAAACTACAGAGAGGTTATTATGAAACACATTCTTATCTTCACCTTAACATACAGACCAATAAATATAGAAAGAATCCGAGAATCAACCAGAGAGAAACAAGGGCAACTAAGACCTGATCACCACTATCTGGTGTTTCTCTCTTGTGTAGCTTGCTTTGCAGGAACTTGTTCTTCCGGAAGAGGCTAATGGTAGATCTTAAGAGTTGCTTTGGTTGTCCAAAATAGGTCATCTAGGGTGAGCATAGGCGAACCTGATTCCTCTGAAGGAGGCAACGGCGGTGGAACCTGTTGATGAGCTCTGAGGGTTGGGACTCAGAAGTGAGTGTTTCAACTTCATGAGGATCCACGAAGTCAGCCACCAATAGACGTCCACCATTAGGTGGCCATTGCAGGTTATAAATTGCATTACGTGTCTCCATTGCTTCTTCCACTTATGGATACTGCATAAATAGAATTATAACAGGGACTAAATATGTCGAAAACACATAGTACACGGGCGAACCATATATAGAATTCAACCAAAGTTCGTTTCTATATCTGATTGAGAAATAAGAACTTACCATCTTGTTCCCTGGTCGTATCTTCACTATCTGTGGAGTCTGATGAGGAAGAATTGGATCGAGAAGCAGCAAGTTGCATGGTGCCTTTAGGCGTGTTGGTCAGTGTAAAAGCATCAGAGTTCCATGTGTGCCTTTTTGGAGGTTCATTGTTCTCCATAGCTTCTTCATCTGTAAAGACAACTAATATTGTGAGAATTACCCCACCAAATGGAGGTTTCGATTACAATACTCTCTCACTTACCCTGAAGCTTTCTTTTCTTAGCAGGAATAGAAGAATGGCTCTTATTATCAATGAAGATGTCATGTTTGTATGTTGGTGAACCATCTCTCGCAACATGAATTTCCAGTTCCTTGATAATAAGTGCTTCGTTCTCCTCACTATCTTCTCCTATTTCATCAGTACTACATTGTGAATCACTTTGCTTGGTTTCAGGCAAATCCTCGTCCATGGAGTCATCACTCAAACTTCTATCGAAATCTAACTTTTCCGAGAACACCATCTCTCCACTGTCATCTGTATTGCTCGTGTCTGCAGTTGATGTATCATTCTTGTCGTCTCTCTCATCATCAACAGACGTCGTGTTCTCAAGTGGTTGTTTATCATCCATTGAATGCGATTCACCATTATCTGGGACAACATTGCTATATGAACATGGTCCGACCATCTCCTGCTTAACAACATCTTGGCTTAGTTTGGCATTATCATCAATTAGATTATCCTTTAGTTCAATCTTTTCACTAATTGACATAGAATCAGATTTTGCTTGAAACCCTGAAATTTGGTTGATCTCAGGTAGCTGATTGTTCAAAGAAGAAGCGTCATGCATGTCATCCCCATTCTCCAGCTGAGCCTTTGGATCATCAGTCTCTGCCTCAACCTTTGGACTCTCATTCTCCACTGGGGGCTTTCCATCTTGACACTCCATTTGGGTCCTAGAATTCGTATTTTCTTCTTGTTTTGATCTCTGCAAATGTTCTCCGATCAGTGGTACCTCTGTTACCAAGGGCTTATCTTCCACCAACATGTCACTTTCTTCAACTACTCCATGAACAGATGCAGCCACGAAATCACTAATATCATCTTTTAACTTCAACGTGCACTCATTCTCACTATCACCATGGTCCACTACATCTTCAACTTTCTTATGCATGTTATCCTCTTGATTATCATTCACTAGCTGAGCCTTATGGTCATCACTCTCCTCCTCAAGCTTTGAACTCCCATTCTTCACTTCAAGATTTCGATCTGGACTCTCCATTTGCATGTTGGAATTCACATTCTCTTCTTGTTTCAAGCTCTGCAAATGTTCTCCGGTCAGAGGTACTTCTGTTACCGAGGCCTTATCATCCACCAACATGTCACTTTCTTCAATTACTCCATAACCAGATTCAGCCACACAATCACTGATATCATTTTTAATTGTCAACTCACACTCCTTATTCTCACCACCAATACGATCCCCAATATCTTTAACATTCTTATGGATGTCATCCTGTTGATTCTCATTCTCTATCCGAGTCTTAGGATCATCACTCTCCACTTCAAGATTTTGACTCTCAGTTTGCATGTTGGACTTCACATTCTCTTCTTGTTTTGAGCTTTGCAAATGTTCTCCGATCAGTGGTACCTCTGTTACCACAGGCTTATTTTCCGCCACAATGTCAATTTCTTCAACCACTCCATGACCAGATGCAGCCACATAATCACTAATATCATCCTTAAACTTCAACCCACACCCCTTCTCAATCTCACCACCACCATGATCTACTACATCTTCAACTTTCTTATGCATGTCATCCTCTTGATTCTCAGTCTCTAGCTGAGCCTTTGGATCATCACTCTCCATCTCAAGCTTTGGACTCCCATTCTCCTCTTCAAGCTTTTGATCTCGACTCTCCGTTTGCAAGTTGGAATTCACATTCTCTTCTTGTTTCGAGCTATGCAAATGTTCTCCGATCAGTGGTCCCTCTGTTACCGCAGCCTTATCATCCACCAACATGCCACTTTCTTCAATCTCTCCATGGCCAGATGTAGCCACACAATCACTAATATCATCTTTAAACTTCAACCCACACTCCTCATTCTCACCACCAACATCATCCCCTACATCTTTAACTTTCTTATGAATGTCGTCCTCTTGATTCTCATTCTCTAGCCGAGCCTTAGGATCACGTCTCTCCACCTCAGGCATTCGATCTCGACTCTCCGTTTGCATGTTGGAATTCACAATCTCTTCTTGTTTCGAGCTCTGCAAATGCTGTCCAGTCAATGGTACCTCAGGTATCACGGTCTTAACAACAGTGTTCTGAATAGCAGGCTCATCTTCCACTAATATATCCCTTTCTTCAACAACTCCATGATCCGAACCAGTGGATGAATACAGTTCCGCCATCACCGGCTCAACAACATCTAGGCTTATTTTGACATTATCATCAATTACATCATCCTTTGGCTCAGGTACCATTGGATCTTGACACACCATTTTCATGCTAGAATTCACATTCTCTTCTAGTTTCGAGCTCTGCAAATGTTCCCCTTCCACCAGTATGTCCCTTTTTTCAACTACACCATGACCTGAAGCAGCCGGATAATCAGTAACATCATCCGCAAGCTTGAACCCACCATGATCCACTTCTTTGACTTTTTCAGTGCCTTCTTCAACTACAGGCTGAGAATCGCCATTGTTAAAACCATTAGCTGCCTCGTTTGCAGCTTTTTTCCTCTCGGTTCTAACAGCGGCGTCTAAGCGTCTTACCAAATCCTTTTTCAATCCTCGAGTTGTCAAATGCCGTCTCTTGAGTTCTTCTCTCAACTCTACAACCTTCCATTTATCGATTGGTCGATTATCCAGTATTTGAAACTTTGATGACATGTTTCAATGCCTGCTTCAAAACATTATATTTCCTCATTCATTCCATTAGTAATCAACAAGGAAAAGATTATATAAAGATTATACAATAAAACGAAACGCCCATGGTTGAAGGAAACATGGCCAAAGAAAGCTAGTTAGAAACTATAAAAACCAAGTTAAATCATACTTATAATTAGTTGGAAGGGCTGTTGAAAACTCATTATTTATATAAATATACTAGTTTTATATATTAAATAAATTAATTATTTTTACCAAGTAAATAAAACAATATTCACTGGCGCAAAACAATTTTCACGGTTTTGTTTATAACTAATTTTATAATTATAAATTTAAAAATAAAAAAAAGTTAATTGTATTCAAGGAGATATAACAATGAATTAAGGTCAGTCGAGAATAAAAAACCCTAAACTTTCTATAAATTGATTCTAAGAAATATTAAATCAAAATCATGAAAAGATAAACTAATATTTTTAAATATTAACTTCTTTTATAAGACTTCAACGGGAGAGAAAACTATTAAGGGCATGAGAAGATTTCGTGTTTCACCCAATTTCTTATTTAATGATAATTTTAGATTTTATTAATTTAAATATTTTTTAGATTAAATTTTGAATCAAATATTTTTTAAAATTCTCATTAACTTTAAAATTAAGTAATTTAACTCTGTAGCCAAGATAAATATATTAAAAAGTTACTTAATTTTAGCGATTGACTTGATGGAGAAGGTTGGGACCATTGTTATTAATATTATATTATGTTGTAAACGCAGTGACTAAGGTCTAAGTTGGTAATAGTTAATGTTTATATATATTATTTTTGTTATTTTCTCATCTTTTAGATAATAAGTTTAATCTCAATATATATAAATAATTACTTTCTATGGCTTCAACAAACACATAAACTTATTTCGAAACAAATAAATTCCATGCATTTCATGATAATAAGTCAGAAAGAAAGATGTCATAAGCATTTAAATAATGAAATATTTACCTTGAAAAAAATTATATAATTAATTCCATAATGCACCCATCATCCAACAAAATTAAGATTGAAACACTAAACCAGCCGTTTTCCAGCTTAATTTAAAAGAAAAAATGAAAACAAATCCGATATTACCCACAAAGAAATGGTAGAGATACAAGAAAGATTAAGGTACGCACAAGGTTATATATTTGAGAACCCTCGCTTTTCCTTTGAAAAAAATTACGAGAAAATGTTATCTGAAAGTTCTAATTTCAACAAGTAGAAACCCTAGTTTTCGACAAAGGCCAAGGCGAGAGGAGAATCGGCAACATAAAAGGAGAGTTCTATGAGTGAGATATTATTAGGTTTTATTGTTCTACTAAATTTAGCCATAAGTGATGGGGGGGGGGGGGAAATCAATGAAATTCCGGTTTAGAAAGAACTTGATGATGTCTGGTGATGTTGAATTAAGCAAATGAGAGGTCAAGTTTAGTTTTTCTGATATTCTAATTTTGACTTTTATTCAGAGTTTTAAACTTGTAGAAAGCCTTTATTTATAAAATAAAAAAATTTATTTATAAGTTATTAATAAATTTTATATAAGAATAAAAATTTTGAGTATAAAATACTTAAACAAGCATTTTATTTGAGTTTAAATAAATATTTTTATATTATATAATCAATATAAAATATAAAGGTTGACTTTGAAATTAGTCTTACAAAATGTTTTATAAAACTTTTATGGTAAATTATACGAATGAACTCCTAACTATTGTCTCATTTTATTTTGACCATTATTTTTAAAATTTTATCAATTAGATCACTTTATTATTTAAGTGTGACAATAAAACTATTCGCTATTAACCCTTCATAGAAGAAGCGACGTGACAGTTAATTAATAAACTTGATATAATTATATATTTTTGTGTATTATATTAATTTAATTTTAATTTTGAATAATTTAATCTTAATGACAACCCTTGTTAACACCTCGTTATTTTTATTTATATAATCTGATAAAATTATCTTACAAGGAGATCTGATCTTGGGACAATGAAAGAGCACACATGCGGCTGAACCACTCGGTCAAGTGCATCAATTAGTAATATGTGACAACAGTTTTTTTTTTATATTTTAGTCCAACTAAAGAAAGAAAATTATTTATGCCATCAACCAGAGTTATTTTTTTTATATATTTTTTAATTTTTTTATTAATTGTAATATAATATTTTAGTTCAACAGGTTTATTACAAATTCGAATAAAAAATTCAACATTTTTTTATATATTTTTAATTTTTATTTATTAATTGTAGTCTCATATTATATTTATTAATAGTCATACATATATATAAAATTATAGTTTAGTAGCACAAATAATTTCTAATATTAAATTATAATTAACAAATAAAACTTAAGAATGATTTATGCCGTTAATAAAAGTTATATTTTTTATAAAAAAAATTGTTATATTTTTTATTTAAATATGTTGTTAACAAATAAAAATTAATAATATTTTTTTTTTTGATTTATCTAGATTGAATATAAGATAACATTTGTTCAAAAATTAAGAATTCTTTTTCCATTAACGCAAGTTAGAAATATCTAAAATATATTTAAATATGTAGTTAACAAATAAAAAAAATGAATTATTTATGCTATAACAAAAGTTAAAAATATTTTAAAAATGTTATATTTTATGTATTTTTATATATTTTTAAATATAATTTAATATATATGCATGACTATTAATAAACAAAATATTATATTATAATTAATAAATAAAAATAAAAATATATAAATAGAACATTGAATTTTATATTCAAATATGTGATTTTGCTTTTGGTTAAGATGATCCTATCTCCCTATTAGCATTCTCACTTTTTTTTTCTTTCATTAGTTGAACTCTTTTTTTGCTATTAAAAAGTTTAGGTTAGGGGTGGCTCCTCCAATCGAACACTTTTGTTTCACGTTAACCATAACAATTTTGGTTCTCGTTAACCATAACAATTTTGGTTCCATCGCTTCTCCTAAGTTTGAGTTATCTAGCTTTCAGGGCCGGTCCTGACATTTGAAGGGCCCTAGGCAAAAGAAGAGATAAGGGCCCTTAAAAAAATAACTTAAAATTCAAGAATAAATTTCGGTAGACGCCAAACAAATTTTTTCATTAAAATTATACGAGTAGATTCTATTAATTAACCACATTATTTTACCAAATATATAAAGAGACATCACAATTTTCACTCAATTTACTCCTATTATGTCTTCAATCATCTCGTAGAATCGTTTCTCTCAATCGAAAATTGACGCTTCTCACCTACAAAACAACATACACATTTTCATAAGAAACGGTTTCTTCTAGCATTTTGAGATGCAAAGTCATTGATAATAACATCAACATCAATGTTTTATCATCTCCTTCTCAATAGCTAATGTTGCTAAACATTCACCTTTCTTGTGACATTGATGACCTCAAGTACGTTTTTATTAATTTAAGCTTTGAGAAACTTCTTTCGGCTGAAGCAACGGTCACAGGCAAAGTTAATAAAATTCTATAAGCAATTGAAGTATTCGGATAACAATCTGCAGATTTGACAAATTTAAGAATTTTAATGGCGGATAACAATTCTGTCGGCAAAGTCATTTGTAAGACTTTCATTCAGAGAAAAGATCATCTAAGTCAACATCCGATGAATTGCCATGAGAAAAGGTATAATGAAAAATGAGCACAACATTCTTTCAACTCATTATCGTCTGACTTTAACTTATTTGAATATATAAAAATCCAAAAATACTTTCAAATGTCTTCATTGCTCAAATCTATTATTCAAAGAAGCAATTGCCATATCTACCACAAACCAAAAAATAATTGACTCTAAATGACTCTTCACTCATTATCGTCTAATGACTTTAACTTATTTGAATCATATAAAAATCCAAAATACTTTCAAATGTCTTCAATTGCTCAAATCTATTATTCAAAGAAGCAATTGCCATATCTACCACAACCAAAAAATAATTGACTCTAAATGACTCTTCAGGCGATTCAACTTCGTTATCCTCGTTATTCTCTCCAAAAAATTTCTTTCTAATCACACAACGTTTTGTGGGAAAGATAGGCTCCACATCCATTTCAAGTGCAAGATTTTTAGCTACATTCATATTAGTTGTAAAGCCTTCATCTCTATATTTTTCAAAGTAAGACATCACACCTTCTAATTGCCTTATGGTAGTATCAATGCACATAGACTTAGATTGTAATTTCTTGCTTACCATATTAACAGCAAATAAAATGTCATACCAAATCACAACACCAAGCAAAAACTCAAAACTTGAGAGTGCATTCACCAAACTTTCAGCTTCACTTTTTGACTTTGCATCATTTTCACAAGATTCATATAATTTACACAAAGCCAATCTTATTTGGGGACATTGAAATCTAATAGCTTTGACACTTTTAATTCGACTCTCCCATCGAGTATTTGATAAATATTTCACAGTTAATCCAGGAACATTATCAAGTAAAATTTTCCATCTCTTTGTAGAACCCGAAAACAATGCATATATGCGTTGAATAACTCCAAAAAAAGAAATAGCTTTAACACAAGAATGTGCCATATCACCAAGAGTGAGATTTAGACTATGACAAGCACAAGACATGTATAATGCTTTTGGATTAATTTCAAGAAATCTTTTTTGAACACCTTGGTGCTTTCCTTTCATATTAGAACCGTTATCATAACCTTGTCCCCTCACATCATCAACATTAAGATCAAGAGACTTCAAAACATTTTGTAGTTCATTAAAGAGTCCTAATCCAGATGTATCATCCACTTTTAGAAACTCCAAAAAGAACTCCTCAATTTTAACTTTGTTATTTAATATATTAACACATCGAACTATGAGGGTCATTTGTTCTTGATGGCTCACATCAGGCGTACAATCAAGAATTATGGAAAAATATTTAGCCTCTTTAATGATCTTAATGATAGAATTTCTCACACTTTGAGACAAAAGGGAAATGAACTCATTTTGAATTTTATGTCCAAGATAATGATAATGAATTTCACGATCCTGAATGTGTCTAACATGATCTTGCATAATCACATCAAACTCTGCAATCATTTCAATCAATCCCAGAAAATTACCATTGTTATCTTGATATAGTTTTTCATTAGATCCTCGAAATGCAAGATTATGTTTAGCAAGACATTTCACAACTGAGAATTCTTTGTAACACTTGTCTCCAACGCTCTTTCTCTTTCATATCTCTTCTTGCAAATTTTTATCGATTGTTTGATTTTATTCAATCTTACTCTTAATTCATTCCAAATATTCATATTAGTCATATGTTCAACACTATTTTCATGTTGTTTAAGCCTTTGGCTAATATGTTTCCAATCACTTAAGCCATCATTTGCTAACAAACTTACATTACTAATCGATTTGAACAACTTGCAACAAAAACAATATACTTTGTCAACATTTTTGGAATAAACTAACCATTTTCTATCACTAGTCTCACCATTGCTCAACTTTCTAGAATAACATGCATATGAGAAATGTCTATAATATTTATCAACAGGAAATTCAAGATCCATTTCTCTTATGGGCCCTTTTTCAACTAATATATCCCTCGCATTATTGTCAAGATTCTCCCAATTTATAGGATCATATATTCAAATGAGGAAGTGTTTCTTCCAATGCCTAAATTTTCAACATTTTCATCAATTGGCACATCATTAAAGTCAATTGAATCATTCACATTTTCAGAATTTTCAAGATTTTCAGTATGCAAATTTTCAGTTGATTGATTCAAAGTTTCATGAGAATCAGCCTTTTTAAACAAAAATTTATCAAGAGCACCTTTTTGTGACTTCTTTAACTCCTCCTCTAGCTTCCTTTTTTTTCTTTTTTCACTTCCAGACAAATGTTTTTTAGACAACATCTTATCAAAGAGTCAAACACAAACCAATTCTAATAAATAAGTATAAGAAAAGAACAATTGCACCTGGATTCTTCAATTAGAATTGTAGTCCTTTGGAGTAAGATAAAATCTCAAATTCCCAATTTGATAATTGACACTGTTGACATAAATATTAATAGTTATAACATGGACACCAAAATAAAAACATCAAAAAGAGAGCAAGTGAGCAGATACATAAAATCTCTTATCATAATGATAACCAGCAGGTGTCTCACCCTTTAAATTCTGATAAAAGTAAAAAAATTAATAAATTAAATCTTATATTTTGAAAGAATTGAGGCAATACATCAAACTTTTACCAAATAACATAGGTTTTGATCACTATGCAATTGAAAGCATCAACTTTTTAATTGGGCCACAGCGAGCACTCGAATTTAATAACATGGACTAACCCATTGTGATGGAAGCCATATCCTATCATTCCATAATTTAAGAAACAATATTCGACCAATTTTATTTTCATGGTTATGGGTGTCATTAGGAAGCCCTAGAAGGCTAGAAGTTAAAGCTTGCTGGGAGCAGTAACTGAATATATTCATTCTATCTATTTCACTCGAATATGATATTAATTTGTCACAAATACAAAGAGTGTGCAACACATCCACTTTTATATCCCAACCACCCTGACCCCTTTTGCTTATTTCAGTAGTAAATACACACACCATTCGTCCATTCCCATTGTCCCACCACAACCAAATCAACCTAAGTCATTGTCTTATCGACTATCGTCTTATCGAATAGCAATAGAAAGGGAAAAGAAAAGAAAAAAATAGCTCAATTATTTGGTGCACGCATTAATTAAGCTGTTGTGCAAGTAATTTTTGTCCAAACCTTACTCCTTCAAATATGGTAGTTTTCAAATTCCAATGAAATTGTAAGCACTAAGCAGATACGAAAGGCACAACTTTTGGTTGAGAAAAAAGAAAAGAAAGGCAGGAGTTGCCGACGAGCAGGATGCAATATTTACAGAAATTAAAAAGAAAAATGATTTATACCGGTTTAGGTCTCGTTAATGCCTTCTTGATGAGTTATGGTGAGGGACGATGAGGATGAGATGGAAGCACCGAACCAGTGAATAATGATCGCCTGACCGGTCGCCTGAGGTCCGACGAGACTGTGCGTGAATGGTGACTCGTGACTTGAGATTGAGAGTCGTGGTGTGTTAGCCGTTAGGGATTGAAAGTTTCTAATTTGGGGTTAGAAAATGAAAAACAAGATAGAAAGTGAGAAAAATGGGCCCCCTCATGTTTTTTCTGGATATATATTTTAACGTGATTTTGTGCTTGAAGTTAAAAATGTTTGGAAAAAATGGGCCCCCTTCTCGCCTGGGCCCTAGGCGGTCGCCCTCCTCGCCTGGGCTCAGGGCCGGCCCTGCTAGCTTTGCATCTTAAACTTATGCGTGCTCTGAAAATCAATCCATGCCCAAGATCATGTCAAACTCTCTGAAATGAAACTCCATTTAATCGACTGGAAAGGTCTCACCTTGAATCTCAACGGGATACCTACAGTGAACCTTGTCTACTAAGACAACTAATCCTAATGGACTAGATACTCTCATATCTCTAGATCCTCTGTTGGGATATTTCTCTCTCAGACCAAGTAATAACATATGTAAGAGTGGCTGGATACTCGAACTCCTATCTCTAGATCCTCTGCTAGGATATCTCTCTCGATAAGTGACACAACATATGCTCGCAATCCCTCCGTGTGAACGTTTTATGATCCATCTTCGAAAGCCTTGGTCTGAAAGGGAGTCATTTAATAACGATAGGCGAAGGAGAGTTTGATAACTCTAGCATCTTTCAGACCTGGTTTTTCAAAGCCAGGATCCAAAGGAGGTTCAGTTTGCCAAACCGCCAGCCAGCGGATCACAATCCAGCCGCTTTCCTTGATCCATGCTTAAAAAATTTCCTCTTAGGATTTTCAAGTTTCAACAGCCTTTAGCCTTGGAACTTCCCATGAGTGGAATCCTTTCATAGACATTTAATCAAAAGATTATGTTAGCTTTCTAGTGATTCAATCATCTTTTGATGAACGTATTCCTGTGATTCCATCTTCATTCGCGTGCCAACCTTTCCTCTCCCATTGGTCGAGCTACTGCGTAACCTCTCCTTTAGTCGAGCTTAATCACTTTCCTTATGACGCGGGCAGCCCATTTAATTGATACTATTATGCAAATCGCATAATAGAACTTATGATTGAAAAATGCATATGAATAGATTGATCCACGAAGAACGTAATCCTATATAATGACATAGCTAACTAACATTTTTTGAGGAAAGCGTAAGCTAAATAAAGGCCAAAAGACGCCTACAGGAGTTGGGTTTATGTGTTATTTCTCCTTAAAAATGAATTTTATAACTGGGCTCTAACCAATAGAATGTAGCCTCTGGAATGAAGTACTCATAGCTGAATGAAATTCCAATACCCTAATAAGCTGAATTAAATTCCTTGTCCTAATACCCTAATAAGCTTCATGTTGTCCCTGTCCATAGTCGAGTCACTTCATACCTTTCTCCCCTAAGATGAAGTAAGTTGCTTGTCCCCGAACGACTGGAACATTTTTGTCATATTCTATTCTTGTTGTGGATTTCTTTTTCGATGCGATGGTCATCTGTTTGATCCTTTTTGTCAAGCTTTAGCTTTCACATTCTTTGATTCAATCTATCTTCTTGAGCATTCCTAAACTGACCACCTCTCACAGTGCACTAACCACTCAGTGAAAGTCGACCCAGATTGAATGTACACGAATCCAGGATAACCCGAACTCGAGCAATAAATTGACAAATAAGCTACTAACTCTTGAGCCTTTTCGCTCTCATTGGCCACGCCTTAAAAGCCCATCTTGAAGGGGGTTGAGATGGCATAACAATCCATTTAAGCAGAGATAGGGAAATAACCCTTCTAATTATCCTTCGGACGTTGCTGTGGATTCAATTCCTCTCGCTTCCGCTCGAGAGCACTTCGTCCCTCTCGAGACTAAATACACATGTATTGTAAACCATATGCTTCTAACTCACGTAGCTCTTATTTTTCCTCTTCGTATTCAATACCAGGAAACGAACTTAGGTTGTACGATCTCGATGGTAGAGCTTTTTCTAATGCATTCTGATCCTGCAAGGGAGAGTAACGTAGCCCCTCTAGCTATCAACTTAAAAGCCCCTCGGTGGAGACAAAATAAAATCCAAGCTTGAGCCCTGTCACTTTCCTCTCTAACACGCTCGAGACATTCGGACCTCTCCAGTTAACTCATTTGGATCCTGGTAGAAGGGTTCTACTTTCTATGGCATAAGGGAATGTAAATGTGACGATCGTTCTACCTGTTGAAAGCATTGTTAAAATGATTTTCAAGTTTGGCAACCAACTTTGAAAAAATGGTTTTCAAAGTTTGGTAAATGTTTCTTTGAAAATGGTTTTCAAAGTTTGGTAAATGTTTCTTTGAAAAATAGTTTTTCAAAGTTTGGTAGATGTTTGTTGAAAAATGATAATGGGATAATCACAATTAATCCCTAGGCTTTAGGGTATTTACAAGATTAAGTCTTTAGTTTCAACTATAAATACCTTAGCTCATTTAGCTTCAAAACACCCCAAAAATCATTTCTTTCTCCCAATACTATAGAGCTTTCTTGTGAGTAGTGAGTGTTTTGTAAACACCTGTAAATTTTCTCTCTTAGTAAAAGATCTGCAGCAGTCCGGAGACGTAAGCACAATTGGCTGAACTCCGTTATCAATTTTGGGTATTATTTTTCTGCTTTTATTTCACATTCTCACTAATATGGTTATAAGGGAAATTACTTGTACTCGGTTTATTTCCCAACAACTGACATCAGAGCTTTTGGTTGTGAATTTTGTCAATTTTTTTGCAAGGTAACTATTTATTACTATTCATGTGAATAGTAAATTTTGTGAATAGTAAAAAATTTGTCGGCGATACGAATTTGTCGACGGAGGTGTTCTAATACACGGTGGTTCGCAAGAATTGTCAGAAAAGATCCAAACGAAGCCATATTTGAGTGGGAGCGATGGCTGCAGACGAAGGGAAGGTGAAAATTGAAAAGTTCGATGGTGCGAACTTTGGCTTTTGGAAGATGCAGATTGAAGATTTTCTGTACCAGAAAAATCTATATCAACCTCTCTC